CAGAACACCGCTCAATTCAAAGAAAAAGTTGATTCTCTTCTTCAAACTGATATTTCCTCCCCTGACGACTTTCGCAGTTTCAATGAAATTGTGATTGCCACCTTTACTAACCTGGCAAGTCAAGTTACCACCCAGAAAAGTGGAAAGCCCAGTACTAACAAAAACAAATGGTTTGATTGGAGTTGTAGGCATGCTAAACGACTAGTCTGTAGAGACGAAAGAGCCAAGAATAACACCCACATCGATCCTATGCTCGTGGAATCCAACCGAGCAAGATTTTACCTCCGTAAGAAAGAATACAGGGCACAAACACGAGCTAGAAAGGGAGCTTACCTATACAAACTTAACGAGAAAATCAACCACAGCAACAACATCAACTGGGCTGCTTTAAAAGACCTCTCGTCCGCTTGTAAGGACCCTGATACATTCGACATATATGACCTGGTCGCATTTCACAAGTTCTTCAACGACCTATACAATCAGAAGTGCAAGGACCCCTCGCACGGTGGACTACAAACGAACACTTCGACCAACGAAGCTGGTGAACAGGGAACCGAGTACCACCCCGAGCCATCAGTCGAACTTGAAAAACTCAACACAGAGTTTACTATCCAAGAACTTGAGAAAGTCACCAATAAGCTCCAGAATAACAAAAGCGTTTCATGTGATCTTATCTCCAACGAGATGCTCAAGAGCTCCAAACTCGGTCTCCAAAAAGTCCTTCTGAAACTATTCAATGGTTGCCTAACGCAAGGAATCTACCCCTGGAACTGCTCAATAACTACCCCCCTACACAAAAAGGGGGACAAGCAGAACCCCGATAACTATAGAGCAATCACAGTCGGAAGTTGCCTTGGAAAACTCTTTGCATCCCTCCTCCTTGATAGGCTGATCGAATTCCGTAAAGTCGTCTGTCCCGACTTCCCTCACCAACTCGGATTCAGAGCTGGTGCCCAGTGCTCTGACCATATCCTGACCCTTACAACGATCATCGAGAAGTATACAAAGAAGCTGAAGAAGAAAATATTCGCTTGTTTCGTGGACTATCGTAAGGCGTTCGACACAGTCTGCAGGGAGGCTCTCATGTACAAACTCAGTAGACTTGGTATCGGAGGAAGCTTCTTCTCTTGCCTCCAGAACATGTACAACAACTCAGTTACCCGTATCAAACTGAGCAAGAAGCTGTCGGACACCATCGATGTCACCATTGGTACCGAACAGGGGCATCCAATGTCTCCGGAGCTCTTCAAGGTATACATTTATGACCTCTCCATTAGACTAGCAGCTCTTGAGGACTTGTCAATTCCAGAACTGAACGGCTTCTCGGTCAGCCATCTCCTGTGGGCAGACGACCTGATACTTTTGGCACTCGACGCCAAAAGCCTGCAGAAACAACTTGATTGCCTGCACGAATTTGCAAATAAATGGGAACTGTCAATTAACATCGACAAAACCAAAATCATGGTATTCAACTCGAGCTCTCGTTTGCTGAAATGCTCCTACGGGTTCAAACTCGGCAACCTGGACATCTCATCGGCCAAATCTTACTGCTATCTAGGCATTCAATTCAGTCTCAACGGTTCATTTAAAGGTGCGATGAACGAACTGAGGAAGAAAGCACTAAGAGCATTTTTCTCGATCAGACGCATGGTCGACACTCGAGCATTAACAACAAAAACCATGCTCAAGCTTATAGACAGCCTCGTTAAACCAGTCGCTACGTATGCCTGTCAGATATGGCTACCGTGTACAAAAATGGCAAAGGAGATGGCTTGCACTGATGGTTCAAGACAGAACCTTGCCAGAGCTGCAACAAAGGACGCACTTGAGACAACACACCTGAAAATGCTGAAGTGGGTGCTCGGCTTACACAAGAAAGCTAACAACAACTTCTGTTACGGAGATACGGGCAGGTTACCATGGGCCCTGTCGGTACTACCACAATGCCTGAGATACTTCGACAGATTGTCTCAGACATCACCCGACGTGAGCAGCGTCAACTTTCTTGTACATCAGACATTTCAAGAGCAGAAGAATCTAAACCTCTCTTGGTATAAGACCTGGAACTCGATCGCTCAGTCTGAATCCAAAGCGACCAAATTCGTTCGATCCGACCAACGCAGAGCAGAAGGAACGACCTCAACTGCACATGGAAATTTGGTCGATCACTTTGTAAAAGATTGGAGAACAGATTTAGCATCCCAAAAGAAAATGCAATTTTACTGCACTATCAAACAGGTATTCGGAGAGGAGCAGTATCTCAATCTAAAGAATAGTCAATGTCGCATGCACATAGCAAAAATCCGCTCCAGTAGCCATGACCTTCTTATTGAGATACACAAAAGAAACTGGAACGTGGACAAGAGCCTGCAGATTCTGCTGCAACAAGGAGAACGTTCAAGGCTTAGAATATCTCCCCTTTTTCGAAGGAACAATCATTGAAAATGAAGAACACTGCCTCACTGAATGTCCAATGTACTACTCAGCGAGACTTTCACTGTCGGACAACCTTAAGAGTCTTTTGCTGCTCAAGGAATACGGAGCTATCATGACTTCTGCCCATGTGCAAGAACTGGGCAAATTCCTTTGCAACTGTCACCGCATCAGGAACCCGAAAAAGACGCCAATACTGCCTGTCACCCCATCAGGACTACCAACTCAACATACATAATACAGATCATCATTATGCAGATTTCACGATCTGTTGTACGAGCACGGAACACTAGTGTTTACTGTTTCCAGTACGTTCGATTATGAATGTGTCTTTTGAGGACTCGAATACTGATATCGCTGTTTAGTGATCATTGAAGTTGCCTTTTACTACTTCCTCTTATGTTAAATTATTATTTCAGCAATTATTTCTATTTCGGTTGGTTGTACGGGAGTTAAATTTTAAGTGCTTGTGTTTTAAATTTTCATGACTCTTGAAATTCGAATTTTATTTACTCTAGTTATGTTATTCATTCATGTATAGTCGAGACGATGGTGTTAGTGCCATCTCCGACAACTTTACGTTTAATTCCGTTTAATTCCGTTTAATTCCATTTACACTCACGGCTATGACTATATTCATAACTTTGGTTGTGATTAATATTTTTCGATGCGGTAGAAAGTATCATTTAGGGAATCTGAATACTTACAACTTTGTTGTCATTGTCAAATAAAATTCATCATTTGTACAGTATAACAGAGCTATATGATGAAGAGAAATTAAAAAATAACTGATTTTTTAAATTTCCTCGAACAAAGCTTTCGACTAGCGGGTTTGTAGGCATTTACAGTAATGAATTATAACAATAAAGCGAATCAGCTTCAACTTGGAAACATTTTCTCTCCTTGTTATATGTGTCATTGAAACTCGAGTCGTTAGCCAAAAAAGGAGCATAATTCATAATTTATATAGACTTGCTGAAAATTATATAAAAAACGCATCCTATTTGCTTATGGGAAAATATGGTTTTCCATTTTCGACTAATGACCGCTTTTAGATTTTTTGGAGAAATAGTAAACTATCGTAAGTTGGAAAAAAGGTAATTATCATGATAATGACTAACAGATAACTCAGAGACTTGCAAACCCTTTTGTAAGGTTGTAAATTTATTGAATCTAGTCGAGAACAGAATCGAACGAATTGTCACGTCCACATTCGGATATTGACAGTACGGTGCGAGTAACTTCGGAGGATGATACGTCGAAAATGTTCCAATGGGATGGGGGGTATACAACGGAACCAAATAAAACCGCGCCGTTCTAGTTGTAAGTATCAAAAGGTTTTATGTTAGACGCATTATATAAATAGCAGGCTTTAAACGAAGGACTCTCAACAGGGACTAAGTTGACTAAGTTACAGACACCTGATCTCTACAAAACATTTCTAGTGGAGCGCAGCTTTGCCTTTTGTCTGTTGTTGGCGCAAAGGTCATTATTCTGTTAAAGCAAAAGTTGTGGATTATTTCAGATCGTGGAGTGGTCATGTTTTGTCAATCCGAATGATTTGTTCATGAGGTTGTTAGCAGCGGTTTGACCGTTTCGTAACGAGTCTATGGACAATAGGGCGGAAAGCTGCATATTCACAAAGAAACTCGCGTCAAGACAGGCAAAGACCGCTTGGTTGACGCTCAACACTTGGGTCTTGCTATTGACTTGTCTCTCTAAAGATTGATGTGACCAGTATTGAGTATAAACCACGTAGCATTACGCCCGTGTGTCCCTTCGTCTAAAACAAATATTAACGGGTAATACCTGTTCAATATTTGTTTGGAATATTATACTCGTCGTTGAGTTGCCAAACACCTCGGAGGGGGCGTCGCAGTAGGTTTTAGACTTACAAAGACTAAGATAGCTTTACCTCTTTAAGTGGTGTCACAGAGCTGCAATGTGAGGTATCTCCCATCTGAGCATCTGTATTTTGGGTACAACTTCATACGAGCTATTTATAGATAAAGCAAAGCTTGATAAATGAAAAAAGTGTTCGAGGTATATTGCCTTTTTACCCCTTACAGGTTAACGATGAGGAGACAGGGACTTCCAGGGACGGGGAAAATTTTAATTATTGCAGTAATATTCCAAGAAGATGGACTTATAGTTATAGTTACAGACAACTGAATGGATGAACTGCATTTGTATGGCGCAGGTTTTTGGTAAAGGTCATCATTCTGTGAAAGCAAGGGTTGTAGATTATTTTAGTTCGTAGGTTCACGCTTTGAAACCAGCGACCAGCGACCAGCAACCAGCGACCAGCGACCAGCGATTTCGGATGACAGGAGTTCTTTTACCTGGGGACCTCAGGCTATCATGTTCATAAATAGAGATTCGGCGGAATGACAGGCTGAGCACCGCCCAGTAAGAGTTCTTGTGAAGTGTGATATCCTTCTGCTGTGGTTTACGGTACAGTCGACTAGGGGTCCACTCTAAGAATTTATAAAAAATGCAATGAATTTAACTACAAAATAAAAGAACAAAATAACAGGCAAACTGTTCATTATTATCTATATCTGCTATATAGGCGACAATGATAATGATTAAAAGATTCACGAAATTAAGCCATTTAATCTGAATTCTATGTTTCTGACTTTTTGGGTAAAATTCTTTGAGGATTTGTAAAAAGTCTTATAATGCTTCAAATAATGAAATGAGTTCCATCTTAATAAGTTGATATAACCAAGTCAACCAAAGCGTTCAGGTCTAGTTGAAGAGAACTGTCGGAGTCATGTGTTTCCGTGATATCGACCGTGTTTAAGCGCTGAAAAACATGACAATTAACCAATTATAATTTTAATGAACTAAATTAACTGTCATATTAATACAGTTTTTCTTTTCATTGATGTAATGTATTGAAATGTAAAATCTGAAGGTTGAAACTTACATTATAAACGCAGGATAGCAAAGGCCAGAGGAAGAGCGGGGATGGACATGCCAAGGGAGCTACCTATTTCTCCACCCTCAGCTTCCTCCTCTCCACCGTTAGTTTCTCCTCCTTCAGTTTCGTCACCTCCTGAAATTGATTATGATCATTAAATTGCATGTATCAAAATTAATTTGTTGAAAGGATCCGTGTGGTGTTCACTGTTCATTAAAGCAATATCTATATTAGTGCTTTTCATTCAAACAAGTAAAAACGATCTTTTATGTCATGTTTCCAGGGTTTGGACTGGAATTGCCCGCTTAAGGAACTTCCATCGCATTACATTACATAATTTTCTCAATAAATGTAATAGATTTGTAGTGTTGTAATTAGTTTAAAAATATCAACTTAATAACACCAGAATGTGTGTGTGTCTGTGTGTTTGTGTGTCTGTCTGTCTGTCTGTGTGTAATTTCCGAACGGTTATACAAAAAAAACGGTAATAGTTACGGGACTGGTTTTTTCGGTATAGTGCCGACAAAACTCCGATGAAGCCCATAGGAAATTTTTTTTTAAATCGGCCGGTGGTAAGTGGTTTAATTGATGGTTTTGTACCACAAATGTTACATAAAATTGCTTGAGCAGAACGGCAAGAGTTACGGGGCTTGCTCTCTCTCTCTCTCTCATTACTGTGTAATATGTTATAGCTGCATTTAAGTAGCGTCATAATTGGATTAGCCCGGAAGATTTGCTGTAATGTTATACCTTAAGCTTATTAGGGGAGGGAGAACTGTTAGTGTTTGGGGTCTGTTTGGACTGCAGAGAGTTAGAGAGAGAGAGAGTTCATACGACAATGTTATGCGTGTTTTCAAATATAATATGCGGGTGTGGTGCGGAGTTAACAAGGGTTAATTTCTATAACGATTTAAATAAAAATAGAAAGCGGTTCAGGACGGGAGTGATGAGGTGTAATACTCGGTGTTCAGACCTTAGGATCATGGAATGTGGTGCCTCATGGCTAATAATGATTTAATTATCCACAAGAAATAACTGATTATGAGATTATTGTTTAAGAAACTATTGGGTCACCTAATGCGGGTTTTGACTCAGCGGGTAATTACTCCTACCCTTTTTAACTGCGGCAGTGAAATCCCGGCCGTAGGCCGGGTTACACTAGTCACCTTAATAACACCAGAATGTGTGTGTGTGTGTGTGTCTGTCTGTCTGTCTGTCCGTGTGTAATTTCCGGTCGGTTATACAAAAAAAACGGTAAGAGTTACGGGACTGATTTTTTCGGTATAGTGTCGACAAAACTCTGATGAAGCCCATAGGAAATTTTTAAAAAAATCGGCCGGTGGTTAGTGGTTTTATTGATGGTTTTGTACCACAAATGTTACATAAAGTTGCTTGAGCAGAACGGCAAGAGTTACGGGGCCTGCTCTCTCTTTCTCTCGCTCTCTCTCATTACTGTGTAATATGTTATCTGCTGCATTTAAGTAGCGTCATAATTGGATTAGCCCGGAAGATTTGCTGTAATGTTATACCTTAAGCTTATTAGGGGAGGGAGTACTGTTAGTGTTTGGGGTCTGTTTGGACTGCAGAGAGAGAGAGAGAGAGAGAGTTCATACGACAATGTTATGCGTGTTTTCAAATATAATATGCGGGTGTGGTGCGGAGTTAACAAGGGTTAATTTCTATAACGATTTAAATAAAAATAGAAAGCGGTTCAGGACGGGAGTGATGAGGTGTAATACTCGGTGTTCAGACCTTAGGATCATGGAATGTGGTGCCTCATGGCTAATAATGATTTAATTATCCACAAGAAATAACTGATTATGAGATTATTGTTTAAGAAACTATTGGGTCACCTAATGCGGGTTTTGACTCAGCGGGTAATTACTCCTACCCTTTTTAGCTGCGGCAGTGAAATCCCGGCCGTAGGCCGGGTTACACTAGTCAACTTAATAACACCAGAATGTGTGTGTGTCTGTGTGTCTGTGTGTCTGTGTGTCTGTGTGTAATTTCCGAACAGTTATACAAAAAAAACGGTAATAGTTACGGGACTGGTTTTTTCGGTATAGTGCCGACAAAACTCTGATGAAGCCCATAAGAAAATTTTATAAAAATCGGCCGGTGGTATGTGGTTTAATTGATGATTTTGTTCCAGAAATGTGACATAAATGGATGGGAGAGAGAACGAGGAGGATAACATGTACCGTAATTAGTTTAGCCCCACGTAATATCAGAGCTCACTCTTGCGGCCGCTTTGTTTTAACTGTAGGGTGATTTCATACTTTCATAAGACAGCATTATGCGTGATATCAAATATATAATGCGGTTGCCGGTTGTATACTTTTACATTGCAACTGTGACAGTAAATTCCCGGCCGAAGGCACGGGTTACACTAGTATTATATAATTTCAATAAATCTGTGTGTGTGCGTGTAATTTCCGAGCAGCTTAATCAAGAAAACGGTAAGAGTTACGGGGCAGGTTTTTTCGGTATAGTGCCGACAAAACTACGAGGAAGCCAAATGGTAAAGGGTTTTTAAATCGGTCGGTGGTTAGTGGTTTAATTGATGGTTTTGTACCACAAATGTTACATAAAATGGCTCACATTTTCTCCCTCCTCGCTCTCTCTCCCATTACTGCATAATGCATATTATGTAGCGTTGGTACATATATCATAATTACACTGTCATATAATACTATAAGCTTATTAGGGGAAGGAAGGGTTAATTTCTAAAACGATTTAAATAAAAATGGAAAGCGGTTCAAGACAGGAGTGATGAGGTGTAATAGTCGTTGTACAGGGTGTACGGACCTTATGATCATGGAATGTGGTGCCTAATAATGACTTCATTATCCACGAGAAAGAACTGATTATGCGAATATGTTAAATACTATTGGATACGTGAGGGCACTCCGAATAGAATTGCTCACCTAATAATCAACTTAATAACACCAGAATGTGTGTGTGTGTGTGTCGTCTGTGTGTTCGTGTGTAATTTCCGAACGGTTATACAACAAAAACGGTAAGAGTTACGGGACTGGTTTTTTCGGTATAGTGCCGACAAAACTCTGATGAAGCAAATTTTTTTTAAATCGGCCGGTGGTAAGTGGTTCAATTGACGGTTTTGTACCACAAATGTTGCATAAAATGGCTTGAGCAGAACGACAAGAGTTACGGGGCTTGCTCTCTATATCAGATATCTCATTACTGTATAATATGTAGCTGCATTTAAGTAGCGTCATAATTGCGTTAGCCCGGGAAGATTCGCTGTAATGTTATACCATACACTTATTAGGGGAGGGGGACTGTTAGTGTTTGGGGTCTGTTTGGACTGCAGAGAGAGAGAGAGTTCATACGACAATGTTATGCGTGTTTTCAAATATAATAGGCGGGTGTGGTGCGGAGTTAACAAGGGTTAATTTCTATTACGATATAAATAAAAATAGAAAGCGGTTCAAGACGGGAGTGATGAGGTGTAATACTCGGTGTTCAGACCTTATGATCATGGAATGTGGTGCCTCATGGCTAATAATGACTTAATTATCCACAAGAAATAACTGATTATGAGATTATTGTTTAAGAAACTATTGGGTCACCTAATGCGGGTTTTGACTCAGCGGGTAATTACTCCTACCTTTTTAACTGCGGCAGTGAAATCCCGGCCGAAGGCATTATCTATATAACTAGTTTAAGTGAAGTAACTGCACCCACACGCAACCTTTCAAATTTCGGAGCTGAGAGTATAGACATTATAGACACACACCACATCATATGATCTCAGCTATAATGTTATGAGTATTTATGATTTAATTTGAAGATCAAAATGCTTACCACTGCATGTAGGTATATCACATAATTCCAACACAGGATCAGTTCCCTCACCATTTAAACACCAGATGCCTCGAATATTCACACTGATCAGGAAAAAAACATGTTATAATGAAGAATTTCTAAAAGTAAAAAGAAATTACACAGATCATTTACATTCCAAAGCCCCTAATTCATTGCAGTTTTATTGTAGATTTTACTTAAATCTACAATAAATGTTTGTGCCCCTTATACCATGTGCTCGACAGTCGACTTGATAACAATTATTATGGAACACTAACTACCAGATATCAGATATTGAAGACTTACCCGCCTGGATTTCTGCAATAGTTCTCTTGCAGTCCTGAATCAGGGTGACTGAAAATGTTTTTGTAATAAGCTAATTTCCTAAATAAAAGTAGGTAGTGTTGCGAATCGTAACTAACAATTTGGCTTCTGTCGAGAGCCCTTTTAGAGACATTTCGAAGTTTGGGTGTAAAATTATTTAGGACGCTCGATTAAATAGAGTACATGTCTCATCTTCCAAAATCCGAATAATCTGGATAAGAATAAATCCAAATCTGGATTATGCCGTATTGTGGCCGCCTGTGGGCGAGACTAGCTAATACCTGTTGTGCCTTAGAACTTGAAGAAGCACCAAGAAAACTTACCGCTCAGGAGTTCTTCTGTGTACATTAGGTGATTGAGAGTCCCATCTCTGGCAGACGAGTCCTGATTTTGTGACAGATACAGTTCCCCTGTATTCTGATCCATACTTATCCGCTTTATCAACACACTCGTCTGGAGCTGGAGTTAATCCATTTGTTATTCCTTTAGAAACGTTAATAATGAATAAAAGTCGTATATGATTTACAACACACATAACCCCGGCATGCGCAGGGATTATATTTCAATTTTTCCCGCGACGCGCGGGAAAAATTTATAATAATTTCGAGTGCGAAGCACGAGGGATTATTATGAAAATAACCCCGACGTGCTTTAGCACGAGGGGTTATTTTAATATAACTTAAGCGTGCCGGTGTTATGTGTTATAAACCCCTCCGGGTTAGTGCTAGGACCAACAAATTTGACATTTTACTCTTAATTCTAGCCATATGAGATCAGTATGGAAAATATGAAATGGAATTGGGGACTACCAAATTGAAATAAATACAACTAAGGTACTATGACATTTGAAATTGGCGTTATATCTAAACATTATTCCTCAGTCAGAAGTACGTTGAATGAATATGAATATCGACATAAAGGGGCGTCGAGTTAAGCCTGGCAAGCGATAAAAGGTGGAGCTAATAATGATATCGTGTCATGAAGTTCATCAAAGTAGACGACTATAATACATGGCTTATATCAAACACGACAAAATTAACCGGACAAAATCAAATGTAACCGTCGAGACAAGTTCTGGAACTGGTCCTATTAATGTAAGAGTTTAAGTAATGTAAGCAGTGTGCTGGAGTTTTGCCAGCGCCTGCAATTAGACCGATACGTAGATCAAGTGTATTTATAGTTCTTACGTTAAGCCATAGGTCACGTGACATTTTTTACCAATGCGCGTCGTAGTAGTTAGTCACGTGATACACGTCATCAAAACACGTGACAGTGCGCAGTTGAAATTCTCATGGAATATCAAAACAAAACAAATCTTGTTGAGCCAAATTAGCGGGGCGGGATTATAGAAGTTGTGCCGGGGTTATTTATTCAGCGGGAAAAAACTAACAGCGGGAGGCGGGATTATCAGAATCTATTTAGCGGGAGCCGGGATTATCATAATCTTATTCTATCCCGGAGGGGTTTATAAAGGCTGTAAGACCTCTGGAGTTGATGCAAACATTAAAAAAAGACATATTTTCCAATATCTGGCATTCTGGCTCATTGTTTATACAAAGTGGAAATCATACGATGTCAAGTTTAGAAATAATCATTAAGGTATTCTACCCTAAGGCTAAACTTAAGTTTTAATTATATGCAAACAAATATTTTAACGTCATTATCATCACTCGATGGACGATGACGTCATCAAGTTAAGCGTTTTTAAAGCTTGATTTTTGACAAAGTAACAACTTTTAAATCAAAGTCGATTAAAATCACGCATTTCGTGATTTAGTATTCTCTGCTGTTGGGTCATCCTTTGGGATGTGGAGGTAAGTCTGGTTTCTATACTTAGGGGTCGTTCACATATCAAGACCCAACCCCCCCCCCCCCCCCCCCCTTCTGACAGTAATATTACGTAATCATGGCCTGACCCCCCCCCCCCCCCCCCCCCCCCCCTTTTGACTTTTCCCCCTTTTTTCCCTGGAAACACTTTTCCTTACGTTTGATGCTACCCTGATCATAATGTGCCGAAAGTATTGTTATGATATCCGGCCAAGCACCTTTCAAAATAGTCGGAAATCCGATAAATTTTAAATTTTATCACTATCAGAATGAAACCAAACACCCCCAATTGTTGTAAACCAAATTTATTGACACTAAATTTTTCGGCGACTAATTTAAAAGCAGACCAAAATTTTAGTAGAGCATAATATGATTATCAATATGACATGAAATTGAATATTATTGAGCTTACATTGTTTATAATTAATATAATGACATCACTGTTCTTACTGCTGAAACACTTTGACTATTACACCTGTAATCTACTGCTACGCTTTCACATTATCTTACTTCCCTTTCCCATCAGGAAGTATCTGCATCTAGTTTAACTCATTGAAGTAATTATTATTATTACGACCCCTTATTATACAATTTATCATGCCATAAGTATCACATTATGGCATGATCACTCTCTCGATCTTCGGCTTCCTCGTTCACATCTTCGGAGTTATTATTTACCTCCACATCTTGTAAAGTTTACACTGAAATGCAGGACCGAGGTGGTCGAATACAAAATTGTTTTTTAAAAGCAGGTATTACTGATATGATGCTTAAAGCATGGAATATTTAATGCGCGATAACCCATTTGAGGAAGATCACCTGTGATAGGTATGTTCATCAAATCTGGTCATATTTCGTATCTGTTGTTTTTACACAACTTTCATTATCATAGACACTGATCTAGAGATATTTTGACATTATTGCTTTGAGTGCTTAACGACTGCCTTTCTTGCTTATTGTACGAAAAATTAATTTATAAATTATCTGCTTAAGTTTTAAAAAAGCAAAAAAAAGATGAAAAATATTGGATTTTTGATGGTTTTAAATGCCTTCGAGCGTTCATTTTAATGTCCGTTCATAATTATGTCTGTTCATTTAATGTCCGGTCAAATAAGGTCCGATAAGGCATAGATGATACGTACGAACTCTACGAACTCCTCAGTGACAACGAACTCTACGAACTCATCAACCCAAAATTACGAACTCTTGAGGAGTTCGTTTTGTACAACTTACGTAAAATGAAATTAAACAGAAATTGTATTTACAATTCAGCCAATTCAACACATAACATACGATTGTAAAACAACTAAATATATTGGTACTCGAAACTTCTACCACGCGTCGCGTGTACACTGTACATTTCACAGTACAAGGACTGGTCGATCGACTGGAACATTCTGGCGCCAATAGTTTGCGCGCGCACGTTCCCTGGACACGTTGCAGAAAACTTCAACTTGTACTTCTGGCGTTGCGTTTCGTTTTCTTCTGCTGTAAACAGCTGTGATCACACCGAATGTACATTGTACATTCAGTGTTCATGTATGATGTATACATTTTATTTTGCCATGTACAGCAGACTGAACTATTTGAAATTGAAGTGCACTGTGTATAGACTTATAGGTATAGTTGATGATTCAAATGTCATTGTAGGTACAACTTTCAGCAGTAAAGTAGACAGTGTACAGTACTACAGTAAAACATTTTCCATGTTTTTTTTTGAAAAATTGACTAACGAACTCCAACGAACTCTAACGAACTCCAAATTTTGAACGAACTCCACGAACTCTACGCCAAAAATCAACGAACTCCGCATCTATGCGATAAGGTATTCGTATATCAAGATTTAAAGTGGGTGGTTAGAATTAGCTGGTTAGCTTTAGAGGTCCAATAACGCTAAATTTGATCGATGATTTTACGGAATTTCGATCTTTTTGGAAGTCATTTTTGAAAAAAAAAATGTTGTCATTATCGGTTTATCGGTTAGAAATTATCGCCGATAACTGATAATGACTTTTTCACAAATTATCGCCGATAATATCGGTTGCAAACCCTAGTATGAGTGATGTGAGTGGAATGGTTAAAGTGTTTCTTCTTGTACCGACCCATGTGAGTTATCTTAAAGCATCAATCTATTACAAGTAATAAACTTTTGAGGGGTCCCGGACCCCAACCGCCAAACGGTACCCGCGGGGCAGCCACGCCCATATTTGGTCTAAATTAGGCCCAATTTAACCAAATACCCTAAACATGCCCAAAACCCAGATTTTAGTTGCTCTACTTGTAGCTAGTGATCCCCTGAACCCGTGTATGAAATTTTATAAATATTGGACAAAAAATAATTGAGTTATGGGCCTAAAACTATATATGCACATTTTGGGCATACGCACCAAATTTGATCGATTTTGGCCTATAAATTGATCAAATATCAATATTTTTTAATGAAACCAACCGACGTAAAGATCCGGTGACCGACAACTGGGAACCTCTCATTCCTGGCTCCCACAGGTATCACATCACATGGCCCAATCAGTGACGTATCATTTGTGATGTGATCCGCTTCTAGAATTTAGCCTTTGAGGGGGGGGGGTTCACCCTGATTTTTTGTGAAACTTGGTTTCGAGTTAGTAGTTGAGTAGGAACCGACCGGATTGGGGTTTTGGCTGCCGGACCGGATTCAGCCGGATTTGGATCTCAAATCCGGCAAGCCGGATTTTGCCGGACCGGAACCGGTGGTTTCAGAGTGAAATAAAAGGCAGCCGGATTTTGCCGGATTTTGCCGGATGTTGCCGGAAAATTTCCTTCCTTTCCACGCCTAATCTTCATCGAGCACTTCTTGCAGCTTGCATAAGGGATCCCATTTTCTTCTGAGTAGAACAACCAGACGGACGATGTTTTAGATTTACTACTACTCGACTCGACTTAGGGCGGCTTCAACGTCCGAACAGATATAGTTTTTTTACAAATCTTCCTATCTACTACTTGATATTGCTTAAACAAGCAGTACGTAGCAGACACAATGTAACACGAGTAGACACGAGTCACGACACTAGACGAGTAATAATCAGAAATGATATCTAATTGGCATATGCTGCCAGACCCCGGCCCTGATAGAGTGCGTTTGTGCGAATTCCCTTTTTTTCATGCAAGTCTGAGTATCATTGGGTCACGTGACTTACAACCAGAGGTGCTTAATAAGGTTGTTCGTAAGCAGGCACTGTCTAGTACAGTACTAATCACCGTCTGGCGTCTAGAGCTGAGTCACATGATTGCAATAATGAGCTAATTAAACCCTGAACACGTGACCTTCATATTTCGTATTTCATAATCAGAAGATTAAATACTGCCAATTTTGCGATTATAGCCGGGGGCTAGCCCAGGGAGGTGGCCCAAAATATTTTCCGGTTTTTTCTAAGTCCGCACCTACCCCTCGATACACTATTCTGTATTCTGGACTCAAGGTTTCCCCCGGTAATGCGATCTCGGAAGGCAGGCCTCCCCTTTGCAACACGAGCTCGGAAGCGGGAGCTCTCGATACAGGAGGTACGTCTCGAGAACGACTCAGACCGAAAACTTTTAAGTTAAAATTTTTCGAAGTTTTTCTGAAAACCACTTTTTTCCACGATTCAGGCTACCCTGTTCATTATTAGCCGAAAAAATTTTTTCGGTTTTTCGAAGTCCCCACCTACCCCTCGATACACAATTTTGGACTCAAGGTTTCCCCCGGTAATGCGATCTCGGAAGGCAGGCCTCCCCTTTGCAACACGAGCTCGGAAGCGGGAGCTCTCGATACAGGAGGTACGTCTCGAGAACGACTCAGACCGAAAACTTTTAAGTCAACATTTTTTAAAAGTTTTTCTTAAAACCACTTTTTTTTCCACGATTCAGGCTACCCTGTTCATTATTAGCCGAAAATATTTTTTTGATTTTTTTTTTCGGTAAAAAAAACTGAAATCCGGCAAAAATCCGGCAATTTTTTTTCCAGCCGGAGCCGGAACCGGAACCGGATTTTGAAGCCGGATATCCGGCCGGAACCGGATTCAGCCGGATTTCCGGTCGGTTCCTATAGTTGACCAACAAACTAGGACCAGTGACCGAACTTTTGAGGGGTCCCGGACCCCAACCGCCAAACGGTACCCGCGGGGCAGCCACGCCCATATTTGGTCCAAATTAGGCCCAAATTAACCAAATACCCTAAACATGCCCAAAACCCAGATTTTAGTTGCTCTACTTGTAGCTAGTGATCCCCTGAACCCGTGTATGAAATTTTATAAATATTGGACAAAAAATAACTGAGTTATGAGCCTAAAACTATATATGCACATTTTGGGCATACGCACCAAATTTGATCGATTTTGGCCTATAAATTGCTAAATTGATCAAATATCAATATTTTTGAATGAAACCAACTTTATATAAAAGGTAAGCCTAAACTACACATTCCCTATGATTATCAGCTCAATATCTACCTAACTTTGGATTCTGTGTGCAAATAATCGCAAAAAATGAACAAAATTGCCCATATGCATATCTCAGTTCGCGATATTTGCGAAACTGACTTCGCTCAAAACAATAGAACTCAATAGGGTTTCAATATTTTTTCACGAAATTTTCAGAATCAACGTAGAATTGCCTCATGACCTTAAGTTTTGGAACATCATTTTGAGTTAGGCCTGAAAAAAATTTTACGGCCAAATTCTGAAATTTTCCGGGCATTATGAACTGGAAAATGTGGAGGGCTGTGTTACGAAGTGATTCATTGCGTTGGGAAAAGAACTGAAAATCGTCAACGTCAACCATGATATTTGGTGGATTCTAAGCCCAATACTAATTAAAATTTTTATCAGTCACTAGGGTTAACGCTAAAAATACGCCCATGCACATACTGTCATACTGTGTAAACTCTGCAAAATAAATGTTGAACCAAAACAGTTTTGAGTTTACAAGATTTATAAATTATAATTTGCTATTTTGTAATCCGCTATCGCCAATATAGCAATATGATTATAACTCTGCCTTCAGTGAAAGAATGTGATTTTATCTCATTCGGAGAACAGTAATTGATAAAATTATGACCACCTTATTAGGTTATGAATAACAATATGCTTACTATCCTATATCCCATATCCTATATATGTGTTATATTATGTTAAACTAGAAAACCCGTGGTTAGGGAGGAAACTAATAGTATTTTTGTTAGTAAGTTTAAATCGTGTCAATAATATCCTACACAAGTACTCAACTGAAGATACAGCCGATTAAAATGTTGCTCGTACTAAACACAGCGTAATATCAACAAAACCGATCAAAATGACGTTAAAACAATCATTGCACGTGCACGTGCGTGTAACAATCCTCGTTACCATGGTTACTTTGCAACAACTTATTTCTCGTATAATTTGCACGTGGGCGGTCGTACATACATACAGACAAAAATAATTCTATGAATTATAGTAGAGATTAATTATCTAATCCAAAGGTTGTCGATAAAAAGTTGTTTTCTTTTATGTTTTGAACACATTGGTTCAATCTAGAACCTTCTACGACATTCAGAAGTTGTTTTATAAGCGGAGATTCGAAGTGGTAAATAGTGGTCATTCTTTACAAATTTCAAAATTGTTAAAGCGAAAATATTGAAAATGAAAATTTTCAAAAGTTTTATAAAAATTAGTTCATTATACGTGTAATATAATTGTGAACATTATTTATCAAAATATATTTTTGAAATATTTGAAAATTTACTAATTATTTAATTAATTAATTTAATTTGTTTTTGAAAAAGTTGTTTTGAAAAATGTGTTCTTCTTTGTTTTCTCAACACACTGCTTTAAACTAGAATCTTCTAGGATATTCAGAACGTGACTTATTTGCGGAAAACCAAACTGGTAAAAAGGTGGTAAAAAAGTGGTAATTGTGGATTTTGCTGAAGTCAGAAATTTTGGGAACTCTCTGGAATGATTCCTGGGACCTGTCCCGACCATTTCCCGTTAAAATCGCTTTGTTGCGAATTTTGTCCGACAAAGGCTTAAATTAAAACGTATTTGGCTCTACTACAATGAATTTCAGTTGCATAAATATAAGTTTTAAAAATTGTATGTTGTATAAATTGTTATGCCTGGATAAGCTGTACAGTCTGTGACTGGTAGGGTTATGAAATCTTCTCCGATTTGACAGGCTGCTTCACATCGTACTTGTTGTTGGATGTTTATCTGTAAAAAAGTTCTGGTGAGCTCACGCTACTGGTTATTAATAATAATTAATGATATGAAATATGTCACCCTCAGAACACTTAACACAATTAGTCCGTATCTACTGCTACATGTACCAGGTACCTAGTACCTAATAATTTGCTAATACCTATCTACACCAAATCACTCCAAATTAATTAAAACACCATCACTAATTAATAATTATAACCTCCATATCTTTACCCACCTTTCCATACGGATGTTCAAGCACGGGGGAACGACCTTCAGCAACTTTCTTATCTTCAAAAAAAATAGTGAGCGCACATCTTCCTTGCGTGTCTGAGTTCGTGCATACCGCCTTCTCTCCCTTGCACCTGAAACAGAACACTTGTTAAGTTGTCAGCGGGCACAACTATATGGTACACACTCTGGTACACTCTATGGTACACTCTATGGTACACAGTACACTATGGTACACTCTATGGTACACACTATGGTACACTCTATGGTTCACTCTATGGTACACTCTAAGGTACACTCTATGGTACACTCTATGGTACACTCTATAGTACACTCTAAGGTACACTCTATGGTTCACTCTATGGTACACTATGGTACACTCTATAGTACACTTTATAGTACACTCTATGGTACACTCTATGGTACACTCTATGGTACACTCTATAGTACACACTATGGTACACTCTATGGTACACTCTATGGTACACTCTATGGTACACTCTATGGTACACTCTATAGTACACTCTAAGGTACACTCTATGGTACACTCTAAGGTACACTCTATGGTACACACTATGGTACACTCTATGGTTCACTCTATGGTACACTCTAAGGTACACTCTATGGTACACTCTATGGTACACTCTATAGTACACTCTAAGGTACACTCTATGGTACACTCTATGGTACACTCTATAGTACACTCTATGGTACACTCTATGGTACACTCTATGGTACACTCTATAGTACACTTTATAGTACACTCTATGGTACACTCTATGGTACACTCTATGGTACACTCTATAGTACACTCTATAGTACACTCTATCGTACACTCTATGGTACACTCTATGGTACACACTATGGTACACTCTATGGTCCACACTATAGTACACTCTATGGTACACTCGTGAGTAGTTATAACTGATCGTAACTTACGCGGAGTGGTAATTGGTAAATAATGGCATAAAGCATTTGGGGTTGTTAAAAGTAATTAAAAGTAATTAAAAGTAATAAAGAATAATCAAGGTGTCAGGCGACTAATACAAGTAGTCAATAGTTTTATTACGAATAATAGAGAGTTGTTTCATCTACTTACTCTACTGTTGTCTGTGGTCGTGTCTCAGGGATGAAAGTAAAGTGCTGCGTGGTGTTGCACGTGAAGACAGAATCTGCTGTTATCTAAGAGTGATGTTATGGTTAGTACACCTGGAAACATATTTCCAACCTTGACACCCGTTATTAGAACTATGGTGTCTATGGGGCGCAATTTCATGTTTTGGTTACCGACATTTTTACAATATTTCTTGTTAGTAAGGGTATATTTAACACTATTCATTTCTAAACTCGAAATGAAACTAACCTTTCTTTCTTTGATTGGATATATGGACTGCTGTCGGCCGACCATGTAGAATATGGAACTTTTGTAAGGTCCTGTCATTTTCTCCAATATTCTAGTTTCTTCCCCTACCTGGGAAAATAGAGTGTGATTAAAAATAACACGAAATTATGACTGTCTTCGAAATCTGAGTTTTGTAACTTCAGATTGACAAACCAACACTTAATATGAAAGATTAAGAGTAACAATAAGCTATAAAGTGAAGTGAACGTGTAACTCACAACTTGGTCGATGCATATTACTTTGCTGTTCTGCCAGATGGATGCTTCTTGTGCTTCCTCCTCAGGCTTTTCCTTCACCAGGTATAAGTATTGTCCATTACAACCGTATCTTGCTTCGTCTGTGTCCACAAGCTAAGGGAAATTATCCAGATCATTTATTGATAATATTGTGCGATCATCGAAATCATAAACAAAGAATCACAGCTTTATTCTACAGCACATGAGCCATTATGCCCGGAAAGGTCAAAAATCAGTGCTTGAAAGTTGAAACACAAATGCCCACCTTGTAAACACTGGTAACAGTGGACTCCGTGTCTACATCATAGAACTGTGCATTTTCTTGCCTGACCCCGTTCTTGGTCCAGTATATCCTGCTACTAATCTCCTTGGCTCCCTCACAGTGCAGTTCAGCCCTCCCCTGGGCTACAATCACCTCAAAGGGAATATACCCCGCTCTGGCGATTTCGAACTCAACTGAAAGTGTGGTGGTACTGTTAGGATGCTGTTTGGGTGGGTGGTGATTATCTAGTGCCTTTATAACGTGCAGGTAGTCATGGTGATCATTCGGTGATAAATAACATTTACTGTTAAATGTTCGCTCAATAATTGTAGAACAAATAATATATATATATTTTGGATAATATTGACGTCCGGGACTCTTAACGGCGTGAAACTCTCACGCCTTAGAGTCCGGACCCCGTGGAAAATAGCGATATTTTTGAAAACCTTTAAATGTTTCACTACTATTGATAATGATAAACGTATTACATGCTATATAACCCAATCTAAGGATTAATCATAACATTATTATTTTGGGAGTAAATTTTCATCATGCAAATCATTTGATTTGGGTACACAGAATATGTTATGTGCTATTATCAGATTGTGCTGTATACCGAGAGTAGATTGAAATAAAAAAGATTCTTCGAAGTACAATAATTGTACGTTTATAATGTATAGTACGTATAATTATTGTTCGTCGTACATATAATAAAGGAGGCATTTTCTGGAGAAACACTCGATAAATCAAGAAAAGGGTAGCTAGCAAATCAAGTATTTCGTGCATTCATGCAGGCAAAGAATAGAAAACAAAGATACTATCAAAATCTCGAGTCTATAACATGAATCACAGTTGATCATCATGCCAAACAAGACAATTTCAACAACAAAAACTTCAGATCAGATAAGATTATTCCAAAAAAGATATTGGGAACAATTCCACCGTACATTTCATCGACCAGGATTCAGGCACGTAGTGCCCCCTAGCCCCCCTAGCCCCCGCCAAGGGGCGGAGCTGGGCGACTGAGCTGCGCAGCTGGATTGGACGCGTCGGCGTTTCGGGGTCATTTTGAGCTGAAACTATAGGGATTTTGTACTTGTAGGCTTTAAAAGAAAACTGTTGTCACTGGATAGAGTAATGAAAGTGCTACAAATCAATTTTAAAGTAAACTTGGCTTTTTTGCCGTATAATTGCCAACAGCAAAGTGAGAAACCCAAATAAAATAATCACTCAAAAGGAGAAAGCCACGCGGCCAAACTGCCAAAGCTTGACAAATCCAAAGTGGTTGCTTGTGGCAGCGCTGCACGTTGCCGTTGGGTTGTGCGCTGCTTTACTTACCTTGTAGGTAGCAGAAGGTTTGTAGCACCAGTAGACTGAAACACAATCTCTCTATATTTTTTATAACATACCCTCTCCTAAATAATGAGAAATTATCAGATATGTTTAACATTTTGACGGATATTTTTAAATCAGATTAATGAAATTAATGAAAGATCTCAGTCGCCAATTTCACCTGAAAAATCTTCAAGTAGATGAAGCTCTATTAAGTAATAGAAACATTATACGTATAAAGCCGTAATAAATTACGGCACTTTTCTGCCGTAGTTGAATCGTAATTCGACCTACCAGGACCGTCGACGAGTCCAACTCGGCGCACGCGGCGCGTCCTGGTAGGTTATAAACCTACAAAATCATCACTCCTAAGTCATAAGTCACAACGAAGTCTCTAGATGGACAATGAATATTCAAACCCACAATTCGTTACAAACCAGGCACTTTAATTCTTCGACAGCGGTACAGGACATGTCGGCTGTCCAAACAGAAAGGGACCAGAAGGGATTCTGACCAGTATTTCAGTAGGAGTAACAGAAACTCCAGTTCCAAACCACAGAGCCATTTAAATGCAAAAAGTCTGAAATGTAGTTAGTGCACATTGTTCAGTCGCAAAGCAGCCGAGTGCAAGACTATTTGTCGATATTGTAAACAGACAGGACATAATATCAAGGACCAGTGTTTCAAGAGGAAACAACGTACACGAGCTCATACCAACCACGTCTGTACAGATCCTGAGGCTGAGTCAGAGTCAACACAACCAAGCCAGCCAACAACAGCAAAAGAGCCTGCATCCAGCTCATCTACATCGTGTGAATATTTGCATCAGATTAATTGTAAGTCGATTGATGTTGTTATGGGGAGGGGGGGCCAATGGGTATTTTTTGTGAAACTTGATTTCGAGATAGCAGATATAAAGCTAGAACTTACGGGTGGGCGAAAATTGACCCCCCGACAATTGACCCGGCCCCGACAATTGACCCTCCGACAATTGACCCCCGACAATTGACCCCCCTAACCCTAACCCTAACCCTGACCCTGACCCAGGACCCTGACCCTGACCCGATCAATTGACCCCAGTGTAATTACATGGGGGTCAATTGTCGGGGGGTCAATTGTCGGGGGGTCAATTGTCGTACTAAACCCTAGATTTCGCGACAATTGACCCCAGTGTAATTAGTATTACTATTACATAGCATCTCTCAATATTCCGATCACAGAGCGCTGTCAATGTCAATATCGACAAACCCTTTAAGAAGGATTTCTAACAGTCTTGAATCGCCAGATATCCAAGATGCACCTAAAGCTTTCAAATGGAACTTATCAGAGAACCTCTCTGCAGACACAGCAACTAAGTTCCGGCTGGCACAGAATGATCAGTCATTCAAAGACAAAATGGACTGCCTCCTTGATCAACCAGTGAACACAGCAAACGACGCTGCTCAGCTTAATGAAGACGTGGTTGCAACATACCACAATCTTGCGAATTTTGTTACTACGACCAAAAGTGGCAAACGCACCAGTAAGAAAAAGTGGTTTGACCAAAGCTGTAGACATGCTAAAAGGGAGGCCAACAGAGCCGACAGAAATGCCAACAGTAACCCACACAGCAACTTCCTTCGTGACCAGCACTTCCTCAGAAAAAAGGAATACCGAGCTATTAAGAGGATGAAAAAGGGGAAATTCCTGTATGAGATGAACCAGAAGATAAACGAAAGTGGAGATGTAAACTGGGCAGCACTCAAACGGCTATCTGACCAGTACAAAGATGAAGAACCATTCGACATTTACGATCTCATCCTCTTCCACAAATTCTTTAATGATCTCTACAACCGGAAGTGTGGTAGGAACGATCACTCAAGGGACGATGTCACCTCTACTCCATTGTCCAACAATTCGCAGCTCACCAAGGAATTGGTCGATGAACTGAATCGCGACTTCACGTTACAGGAAATCAAAGATGCAACTAAAAAACTCAAAAACAATAAGAGTGTGTCCGATGATCTGATATCCAACGAAATGTTGAAAAACTCCAACGAGAAACTCCAACTCGTTGTGGTAAAACTCTTCAACTCCTGCCTCCAGCATGGAACTTACCCCTGGAACAACTCCATCACAACTCCCCTCCATAAGAAGGGTGACCGGCAAAACCCTGATAACTATCGGGCCATAACAATTGGGAGCTGTCTCGGTAAACTCTTTTCGAATCTACTCCTCAAACGGTTAATCGAATTCAGAGAAAGAGCCTGTCCTGACCGACCCTATCAACTTGGATTCAGGAGTGGAGCCCAATGTAATGACCACATACTCACCCTAAATACAATCATAGAGAAATACGCCAAGAAAGAGAAGAAGCGACTATTCGCATGCTTTGTTGACTATCGCAAGGCTTTCGATAGTGTATGTAGGGAAGCACTTCTGTTCAAGTTGAGCAACATGGGAATAGCAGGCAAATTCTTCGAATGCATCAGTCACATGTACAACAACTCTTCAACCCGAGTCAAGCTGATCCAAAAGCTCTCCGCAGCCATTGACGTCACGATCGGTACAGAACAAGGGCATCCAATGTCCCCTGAGCTCTTCAAACTTTATATCCACGAGCTCTCCATCAGGCTGGAACAAATTGAGGAATTGGATGTACCTCTTCTAAACGGTGTTAAAGTAAGCCACCTCCTTTGGGCAGATGACCTGGTCCTCTTAGCGCTGGATGCGGACAGCTTACAGAAACTGCTGAACTGCTTGCATGACTATGCCGTAAAGTGGGAGTTGTCTGTGAACATCAACAAACCAGTGTGATGGTATTTAACACAAGCTCACGAATACTCAAATGTGCTTACGGATTTAAACTAGGAAACTTGGACATCGCACCAGTAAGAAAATACTGCTACCTTGGAATCCAATTCTCTCTGAACGGTTCCTTCAAACAAGCAATCGACGAGCTTAGGAAAAAAGCTCTACGCTCGTTCTTCTCTATGAGACGAATTATTGACACGAGAGCACTCTCCACTAGCACGATGCTAAAACTCATCGATAGCTTAGTCAAGCCAGCAGCTACATACGGATGCCCTGTTTGGCTGCCATCGACCAACATCGCGAAAGCCATTCTCTCAAAAAACCAAGAAGTGAGTCTCCCAAAAGCAGCAGCAAAAGATGCTCTCGAATCTACTCACCTAAAAATTCTTAAATGGATATTGGGTGTCCACAAAAAGGCAAATAACAACTTCTGTTACGGCGACACAGGAAGAACCCCCTGGACAGTGACCGTCCTCCCTCAATGTATTGCCTACTTCTATAGAGCATCACAGGCGGTAGTAGGTAACGTGAACACACTTCTGCACCATACATTTCAGGAGCAGAAACAACTGAACCTTACCTGGTATGACACTTGGTCCACTATCATCAAGATGAGCACCTCCGCTAAACCAAACCTACACCCCGCTCTTGCAGCACGTGAGCACATACACGAAACCTTTGTGAACCACTGGAAAAAGGATCTTCACAACCAGCCGAAGATGTCATTCTACACCGCGGTCAAACCTGAGTTTGGTGAAGAACAGTACTTACAGATTCCGTGCAGGCTTAAGAGAGCTAACATTGCTAAACTTCGCTCTAGCAGTCATGATCTGAGAGTAGAGAAAGGTCGATATACTAGTGATCGATACAACACAGCATTGAAAACGTGTCGTTTTTGCTGCTCTCCAGACACAGACGTCATTCGCTTTTTCGAAGAGCTACCTTTCTTTGAAACACCTATCCTAGAAACTGAGGATCATGTCATAACTGAATGCCCTGGATACCACTCCCTCCGCTCAAAGCTTTCTGATAACCTGAAAAGCCTTGTAATGCTAAAAGAGTATAGGACCATAATGAACTCTTGTCACACAAAAGAATTCGGGAAATACCTAACAGACTCTTCAAACCTTCGAAATCCTAAAAATAAGTCCTAATCCTCGTACTCGAACTTTATTTACTGTATTACCTTAAATTATTATAGACGATCTTCTTTTATTTTCGTGAAATTGTAAACGGTTAAATTTTAATAATTTTTAAATGTTTTAGTTTTAATAATTTTATATATTGATTTATTTATTCATCCTTGTATAGCCAAGACGAGTCCGTTAGTGTTCTCTCTGGTAATTTCATGTTTAATCCTGTTTAATCCTGTTTAGGGGGTAAATTGTCGGGGGTCAATTGTCGGGGGGTCAATTGTCGGGGGCCGGGGGTCAATTTTCGCGGTACCATAAGTATAACTTACAGAGAATATGTAGTTTAGGCTTACCTTTCATATAAAGTAAGTCTTATTCAAAAATATTGATATTTGACCAATTTATGGGCCGAAATCTATTAAATTTGGTGCGTATGCCCAACTTTGGGCATACGGTTTTTGGCTCATAACTCAGTCATCTTTTGTCCAATCTTGATGAAATTTCATATATGAGTTCAGAAGACCACTAGCTACAAGTAACTGTAAACATGGGTTTTAGGCATGTTCAGGTTATTTGGTCAAATTGGGCCTAATTTGGACCAAATATAGGCGTGGCTGCACCGCGGGCACCGTTTGGCGGTTGGTGTCCGGGACCCCCTCAAAAGTTCGGTCACTGGTACTAGTTTGTTGGTCAACTATCTCGAAATCAAGTTTCACAAAAAGATACCCACTGCCATTGTGAACTTTGCTGGAACCTTGGAGCAAAGACGAGAAGCCTTCATTGAATCACTGGAAAACCGAGAAACGTTTAAAACTGGTATATATAGGGCAAGTCAAGAGTTATTATTAGACAGCATGAGAGTAGGCCCTGCCATCTCGATGTAATAATAATAAATAAATGTTTTGCAGCTTGGCAATTGATCGGTGTAGTTGGTGTTGTACACACTGCACTGATAATAATATCACTGATCACGTTGTACGTGTAAATAGTGTGGATAAATGCAAATATATAATCTACAAACTGATAACTGTATTCCGCACTAAGCATGAAATTGTGCTGTATATGAGTGTATATCCTCACCATTTGGATTGGGAGCCGTGTTGTCACATCCAGACCCGATCAACGGAGACAGACCTGTTGAGTTTATTTCGGGAACGCTAACTTCTGCAGAAAGGAATTACTCTCAAATAGAGAAAGAAGCCTTGGCGACTGTCTGGTCAGTCAAGAGATTTCACAAGTATCACTTCGCGAGAAACTTTCAGTGGTATGCGGATCACAAACCGTTAGAACTAATCTTGGATAGCAGAAAACAGAATCCTGAAATGGGAACATCGAGGATCATCAGATGGGCTCTTACTCTCAGTCACTACGACTACACCATCAAGTTTTGGCTTTTGATCTACAGACAAGCACTGTAACGCAGAATTTTGTTCCAGATATCCGTTACCTGCAGAGAAAGATGACATAGAACCAAAATCAACAACAGTGTTTGCGACGTACATAGATCAGACTGTTGAACAGCCAGTTATAAATGGCTCAAAACTCAGTCAAAGACCGTGGCACATTGAAATAGTGCCAGAAAAGGCGACTGTTTCAGCTAAAGATTACTACACTAGAAGACAGGAACTGAGCCTACTCTGGGGACACCGATTTATCATTCCGCCGAGCTTAAGAGATGATGTTTTACATCACACCCATATGGGAATGGGGAGTACTAAAGCTCTTGCCAGAAACTACGTAAGGTGGCCAAAAATGGATCAGAATATAGAGGACATGATCCGACACTGTGTGTTTTGTCAGATCAACCAAAGGAAACAGCTCCCTTGGAAGAAACCATCAGGACCTTGGGAATGTGTACACATTGATTTCGCTGGACCTTTTCTTAATCATATGTGGCTTATTGTTGTGGACGCTTACTCAAAATGGATAGAAATAGCTAGATCACAGTGGGAAACCCCAAGACGAGTGATACCATCAAAGCACTGAGATGGAGAATATGTCCTATCATAGCTAGCGATAATGGACCGCAATTTGTGTCAGAGGAAATGGACTAATTTATGAAGAAGAACGGAGACCGGAGTAACGCACATTACAACACCACCGTATCACCCAACCAGCAACGGCAGAAAATGCCGTGGGAAAGTTTTAAAACGCGATGAAAAGGATAAAACAAATAAACTCTGTTAAATCTCCAGAATTCATGGTTAATGACCTATCACAACACTCCTCACACAGCAACGCAGTTCGAATGATATGCAAAGCGGGAAATCAACAAGTCAGAAATCGTGGCGTTTCTTGGAGGGTAGTTTAATTATTTACTGTTGTTGAAGCCGCTGCACTTATTCACCTCAGATCTGTACTCTCCCAAGTATCATCAACACCTTACCCAGTAAATCATCCAATCCCTAATCCTCCTATCTCAGAAGAATTCATGCCACTCGAAACAGGATACTCTGATGATATTGACTTTAATAACACTGAACTTGCTCCACTCAAAGAAATGCTTCCTATCGCTAAAGATATATTCCAGCAGTGGGACCTTCATATCAATTCTTCCAAGACTGAATTTGTCCATTTTTATTTAGCAGATCCTAAACCCACTGTTAAACGCAAGGTGATTGTTGGAAAAGTGTATAGAGGTGATGAAGAGTGGCGCTCTAACAAAACTTTAGGATCGTTGATGTGCACTGTTAAGGATATCAAGAATCGAATATTCCTTGGTAATGTTGCCTTTAGTAAATTTCAGAAAGTTTGGATGAAGAGAAAGATTTCAGTCCAAAGGAAGATCAAAATCTACGAGGCACAAGTAGTCTCTATTCTACTCTACAACTGCAACTCCTGGGCTGCACCACTAGCTTCGTTGAATGAACTTGATATTGCTCATCGCAAACACCTCCGAAGAATCCTCAACATCAGATGGCCTACTGGGGTTATTTCTAATGAGGCACTCTATGCTCGTTGTTATGTCACTCCCTTAAGTCTGTGAGAGTCTCTAAGTTTCGATGGAGAATGTTAGGACATATCTTAAGAGGACAGGAAGACTCACCAGCATACACCTCTATGTTATTTGCTATAAATTCTGATATTTTTATGGAAGGGAGACGGGGTAGAACATGTTTAAACTTATTAGATGTTATTAGAAAAGACTTGACTAGTAGAAATCTTGATATTAGACTTAAGAATTTGACTGATTTCGAAGACCTTAGATTTTTGGCTTTAGATAGGGAGGAATGGAAGAAGTTAGAAGATGGTTGATGTTTTTGTTTTCTTTTTTATGCGTTTTGATATCTATAAGGTGCCTAGGATGCTCTTTTAAAGAGATATTTCGTACTTTGAAAGATTTACTACTACTAGTTTAATTTTTTCCTTTTCACCATAAGAATATCATCCCGATATTGAACCTACGGGTACATGTCGATGCAAATAATGTTGGGATTTTATATGGCCATAATTTCGGAGACAAATTAAAACACACTCCATTTTTGCATATTAAGCTTTTTTAATGTATACAAATTTTGGATCAATAATTGAGTCAATAAAAAATATAGGATACTTTAATGTTGCATTAAAAACTTTCACGGAATTCAGTCCACAAATCATAATGAAGGGACTTCAGCACAAAAAATTTGTCAATATGATCAATGCTATTTTTATTGTTTCCGTAAAAGTGAATTTTTCGTCTATCGAGTGTCCCATTGTGGTCTCATAACATGGTCTTTACTCTTTAGTCAACATTTCATCATCAACTAGAGAATTTTTATTTTTCCACGTGGATTTTTATTTTTCCATTTTCATCCTCCCAATCCCATATAAGGAACGTTCAATTACATCCTGAAAAGTCTTTTTATCTACAAATATGGTAGAAATTATTTGACTGTACTAAATACTATGTACAGGGTGAGTTGAAAATAGTGTGTGGAAAGTAAAAATCGATAATTTTTTTTATGAAGGAGCAAATTTTGAAAGGTGAATTGCTATCAGTTCATAAACTTTACATATTTCATTCTTGCCTCTCATTTGATTCTAACTCATAATTTGGTTGATTTTTGGCAGTTTTCCAAAAAATCTTAAATTCGTCCTAATGGGGTTCTCAAATCGTGTGCCTTGAAAATCGAGTCTAAAAATCTATTGTCATTCCATTTACGAAGAAATCCTCAATAAGGTCAATAAAGTCATGGAAAACAATATGTGTTCCGAATGTGCTGATCACACCGACAGTTACATTGCCAGTCCACACAATAGAGCGTTATTGCAAGAACTGTCATCGGGTGCAAGTACCTAAAATAATTATATAACAATTCAGGTCGGCCCAGGGACAAAAGGATTTCGCGATTATTTTGGCCAAAAATCGCGATACCACGATTTTTAACAGTCTATACATTAAACTATACATCAAATTTGTCGCAAATAATCGGAAAAATCGCGATTCCGTACATGCCGCGATTTGGCCGACCGTCGTACCTAAAATAATTATAACAATTCGGCCATATCATACCAAGTTTGTCCTATCCGCCTGTGTGATCATGTATATCAACCTGAAACAACGATATTGGAAAACTCAGTGAAACTTTATGTTGATATTTGCGATTGCATGCAGGTATCTTTGGTTTATTGGTTAATACTTAATCCATCATGACACTCGCTGATATTTTCATCACTTTAATCGACACAGTCAAAAATTCCATTGCAAAGATGGTGCTATTGAACTTTGCATTTGAAAAAACTGCTCAGATGATACACATATTCAATGTATTTCCTTGTGATTTCTTTTTTACAAATGCAGATTGCTGCTGTAGTCAAGAATCACAATTACACGAGGTGTCAATAAATCTTGTTTTGCATCTGTGCATTCCAAATTGAGAAGTTACCACACGCTGTATAGCATTTATTGTCTAACCTATCACTTCCAGACGCACATATGGGTTCAAAATGGGTTTGAAATCGTTACAGCAAGGGTTGTTTCCATCAGGAACCAGATTGGTACCCATGGTTTCTGGGCAAAAATTTCATCCAATCTGTCAAATGTGTGTTCAGACATTTTCATATCTGAAAATGGGACAGAATTTTGAAAATACAACTTTTCGTTTTGTTAAGCTTTCTGCTGTGAGCTTCCTCCGACCGAAATCAAACTTCCAGCACCTCAATCGTGTCATTTGCCATCTATAGTTGACTGACTAATTTGGTTTGTATGTGCTGTTAAAAGGACCGGTTTACACAAGTTGCTGCATATGTAATCGGAGTCATATAATACAAATTACATGGGCATGACCTTAAGTCAATAACTACTAACCTAGTTCACCAAGAGGGAGTGTTCGTGAACGGAGTGTCGTTCCCTCTACACACGTGTCAGTGCTGTCTCAGTCAGGAGAGTGTCGGGACTCACTTCAGGGACACTTCATCGCCAGGGTGGGAGGGGGAACATGTGTCTCTGTTATTAACTCCTTCCAGCTTGATGGTAGACTCTCGCATGAAACTGGAATGGTTTTTACAACTTGTGAAAGTATAAATATAAAGCAGTCTTAAATCAATATTATCAATCCAATTTCATAGTTTCTTTTTCCAATATTTTTCGTATGAGGAGCATGTAATGGTATAAATAATCATATTGAGGCTAGTTACCACATGTAGTGTGATCTTGAGAAGCATGAGACCCTTTAGGACACGTGTAGCATAGCCCTGCTCTCTCAGCACTGTAACTGGTTGTGGGACACTGCTGACAAAACAGTTCAAGCGAACCGTCCTTAAAAGTCCCTGCCTTGCATGAACTGAAATATGTGTTTTGTTAGTATAATACTCATCAGAATTAAAAGGGGGGAACTGTTTGACGTTTGCAGGTACGGGTGTTATTCGGTGTCTAAATTTTGAATGGCTCTTCAAAATCCTACAATTATGAGAAAAACAGTTTTGATTTTTGATTTAAAATTGTAGATAAATTGTTACACATTTTAAAATACATATTCAAAATAACTGTAATATTTTAAAAAATTTTGTATTACTCTGGATCTTCTCCACGGAGCAGCTTTACAGTATTGGAATTACCACAAGCAGCTTTTATCAGTATAGGGTTCTTTGTACTTCGCATTCAACACAACTTATCATAGAACGTCCGATACGTCCCTTCTTCCATGGCTCTGGAAAAACAAAGATCTAGAAATCAGGATAAGCTTTGATTTTAAATTTTATTTAAGCTTCGACTTACCTACCATTTACCAAGGATGTTTTTTCTCTGATCATCCTAGATTCGAAATTTCATGTGTTAAAACGGTTTAAACAAATATCTTACCACAGGCAAATTTCCAGTATTGGGCGTTTTTCCTACGTCACATTCCACCACACTCCTCTAGATCGTCCGATATGTCCACTCTTTCACATTGCTCTGAAAAAAAAAGGGATGTAGTTTAAACTCTTTTTAAAGTTATGATGATCTAATCATCGGATAGTGATTGGAGGTGTTCAGCGTGTATTGCAGTTAAAGAGTATATTATTATATCTCTTACAGAAATATTATATGAGATTATATACTTACCAAACCGGTCTGACTGGTGTTTGGTTTGGTTTCCCAGTTCACATTCTTCACACATGTATACGCTCTCTGTCACGATACTTCCCTTGCTTCGCCACGCGCGCTCAGAGAAGTTCTCGCGCATTTCACAGCGAACTACTAGAGTTAGTAATTTAGTTTAAAGTAATTTTCAAAATAGCAGTACAGTTATCAGCTACAAATATAGGGTAACTATCTTACCACAAGCAATCGGTCAGAGTTGGCTTTTTTCCTTATTACATGTAGCACATAACGTCATGGAGCAGTTCGATATGGTCCCTTCTTTGCATGGTTCTAAATATTAGAGGGGTTCAGGGTGGGATCTGTGTACTAGGACCGCTATTGTTACTCTTCATGACACTGGACTTACTTGTTTCTAAAGGGCTGAATATCGCTCTATATTGTTCTATCAAACTTTTGTCTTACAGTTAATAAAACACACCCACTATTTCCACTTGACGTTCTCGAGCTCTTGTGTTTAAAACAATTAGCTAAAAATTTAGAATCGTGGCATTATAAATGGACAATAGTAGTATTGGTACAAAGATTTCTTACACAGGCAACTTTTCCGTGTTGGGTGTCTCCCATAAGGTTGCTTACATCACACATCGTCATAAGCTGTCCGATACATCCCTTCTGCACATGATTCTGAAAATAAAGTGATAAACTCTGATACGCTTAACGTAAGTCCCACCATGTGAAAAATGATGGCTTATGTGTACATTAGAGACATTTCGTGGGGTTAAAAAGATGTATTATATAGTGGCAACTTTTGCCTCTATAGAGTTAATCTGTTACACTTTATGATAAGTGGCATAGAAGAAGAAAAAGACGCCAGGGAATAACGTTAGTTTTATGTCAGTAAATATTACCCTCGCCGTGAAAATTAAATTTAAAACATTAGTTATTTTTACTCGGACTTACTGTAATACAATAGTGAGTAATGGACAACTTTTATTATCGGTTCAGTATCTCTACACCTCCAGCTTAGCTAAGAATACACAACAATAGACAGATGGATGAGGACAGACACCTTAAACAAGAGCATAAACCTGGAGACTGACTCAGGTTATGCTCTTGTGGTTAACTGTTAACAGTGTTAATTCTGTAAGGTCTCAGGTCCTGACTCCTGAGACATTACAGAATTTAGTTATCATTTAGAATCGTGGCACTATCAACTATGAATAGTATTAAAGTGCACAGATTTTACCACAGACAACTTTTTCAGTGTTGGGTGTCTCCCCTAGTTGCATACATCACACATCGTCATAGAGCTGTCCCGCTACGTCCCTTCTGCACATGATTCTGAAAGTAAATTGATTAGCTCAAATTTACCTTTTTAACCTTGTCTCACCCATGTGAAAATTGATAAATTGTACACTGAGAGAAAACAGGCGACCTATTCGTTATTTTTAAACCACCCTGCCTGAGATTTGATACCTTGAGATACTTAAAATTAAAGCTTAAGAGTGCCTGTTTCTAACTGCTTAATTCTGCTAATCTAATTTAAGCGTCGTTATGCGAGGAGAATTAGGGATGGTACAGTGTGAAAATAAATTTCATTTATTATAATTATAGTAAAACAAAGTATTTAGTAAAACAAAGTTTTCTATTTATTTTTTTTAGCAGTGCAATCAATTCATATGATATAATTATAAGAATATACTAGTTAGTCACACCTATTTAAACTGTTATTTGAGGTAGTCGTGACCATGGCTAAATCTAACTAGGACCAGTGGTGCCGATTAGCATTTATAGGTGAGTCTAAGTGACACAAATGGAAAATTTAAGAAAAGACGGATCAAAACA